CAAAGGAATGCAGGTTTCCCTGGAAACCACAACTCTGAAGCATTTTCACCTTTTGGGAAATTTCCATAAGATTCTCCAATTCTTCAGTCGATAGACATTTCCTCCCCACGAGGGCTGCGGGAAGGCCTAAGACTTGAAAGAGGTTGAGAACACGCCATTCAGAGATCCAGTAAAATGCTTGGTCAGCAGGCACCCGACCCTGGTCCTGCGAGTGGCTGCCTCTCCCATCTGTGAAGGGCCCAGCCAGGCCTGCACCCGTCCCTCAAATGCAGCCAGACCTAGGGAGAGAGTGGCCGGCACTCCTGGGCCAAGGCTGAGGGCAGAGGAGCATCCTGCCACCATGCCTGAGGCCTGCCCACCGGGCTGGCCCCTCAAGGGAGGTACAGGGGCCTCTGACAGGCCTGGATGTGACTCCACTTGGGTTATTCAGGGCTCACACAGGAAAAAGCCCCAGCTAGGCCCAGGTCACCCAAGGGATCTCAAGCAAGGCCCTGAATTCCCCAATCCTCCACTCTCACTTCTGTGAAATGAGAGACTGCACCTGGCCATGCAGACCATGGCTCAGAGGCCTCTAGAGGGGCACCCAGACACCACCTGAGGCCCAGCCCAGACACCCAAGCTGGTTATACGAGCCCAGCCTCTATGGAACAGTCCCTCCCGACACCAGATTTTCCATTGGGCCTATTTTAAACAGTTTCATCCTCAAAGTGGCTTGGATATTGGAAAAGTCAAGCAATCTGCACCCCCAAGCTCTCATCTCTGAGGCTGGGAGCCCACATTTCAGTGTAAGCAGGGCAACTCTGGAGCTCACTCAACTTTTCTCAGCCTCAGTTTCCCCAGCAGTAAAAACAGGGCTTCCTGCCCTCTCTCAGGCTCGCGGTGAGAAATAACCACAACCAGCTCACAGAGCAGCCTGGGGAGTGCAGGCCCCTTCCACTCCTGACAAGCCACACAGAGATCTCAGCCAAGGAGATTTTACTTCCCTGGTGGAGTGCCTGCCCGGTGCTCATCCTGTGCACAGCTGGGCAGCACAAGAGCAAAGCCAGCACTCGGGATTCAGGCTCTAGAAGGACTCCCCAGTGCCCAGCACCCCAGGGAGCTCCGCAGGGCAGCCTGCAGTGGACGCATAGGCCCAGACAGTTCTGGGCCTCTCCTGTGGTTCACGCCCCTTTGGGAGGGGCTGGGAGGAGCAGGTCCAAGCTGTTTCTGCTCAGGCAGGCCCACACCTCGCCCACCCCCCACCCCTGGTCGTGGACTCTTTCTGACTCCCTTCTCCAGAAGAGCTTCTGGGAAAGCTCGAAGGCAGAGAGAGACATCCGTGGCTCCACACAGAGGCACATCAGTAGGGAAATCCCCTTCCACAGAGTGGCTGCAGCTGGTGGGCCTGGCTGATGCCCACCAAGCACTGGGGCCATCGGCCAGCCACCTCCCTCTCTACCTTGGACAGCAGCCACCCCCCAGGGGTGCAGCAGGGATGCCCAGAGAGGCTGGCACAGTTCTGCCCCTGGTGGGGCATGGAGAAGCCGCACCCTCAAGAAGCTCGGCCGTCAGGGGTGGGCGCTTGGCCACCAGGATGGGCCACAGCAGCACTACTGGTCTGTGCCACTTCCTGGGAGGGCCCACAGGGCCAGCCAGGAGGAGCGTGCACAGCCCTGCTCACCTGCCCTTCACAAGGCCCCTGGCAGGGAGCAGCTGTGCCCACTTTACTGACAGGAAAACCGAGGCTGGCAGAGGCTCTGAGACCACACTTAGTGTTTAACCAGAGAGTAGGACACCAAAGACCCTGCTCTGACCCTCCTGCCTACCCCCACCCCCCAGAAGAAATCCCGCTGCTAGTGGGGCTGCCTCCCCCAAGTCTGAGCCACCCCCACAGGGGAGCTAGGTTCACAGGAACCTCAAGGCAGCCCATGCCCAAGGAGAGGCCTGAAGCAGGCTGAAGGGCAGGGCTGCCTCAGTGGTGAGGATCTCGGCCCCAAAGCCCCCGCACACTGCAGGAGCGGGAGCTGCCCTACAGAGAGACCTGTCTTGATCAGGGATATCTAGGCAGAGCCAACAGACCCCACAAGTGCAGGGGCCTCCCACACACTCTGCTTCCAGCTCTGTACACTGCAGGAAACAGGAGGGAGGAATGGAGGGGCTGCCCAGCTCAGGCCCAGGCAGGGAGAGTCACTCAGAACTGTGGACAGGGCCACAAGGAGGGCTCCTGACCCCCAGGAATTGCTACCAGCCAGGGATGCCTACGCCCAGCCCACTGGACCCTGGGCAGCAGCACCACAGGTCTGACACCAGCCACTGAGGCCCGGGCCACCCTGGGCAGGTGGGCTGTGGGGGTGGGATCTGTCTTGTCCATGTTCCAAAAGTCACCTCAGGCAGGACCTGGCTGAATAGAGCCAGTGCCACCAGGACCCCCTTTGGCTCCCAGCCAGGCAATGAGAGAGGCGGTGTCTGCAGGAAGATGGTTAAGGAGGGGCCATTAGTGAGGACACACAGAGCTGCCCCAAGGGTCAGGGAGCATGGACCCTGGACTGGGGAAAAGATGCACCTTGCTGGAGGATGCAGGGGCGGTGCAGGCAGTGCTGGAGGCCTGCCTTGGGGCTCAGCACTGGGGCTGTGCCTGGGGAGGGGGCCCTCCCTGCAGGGGGCCGGTGTTTCCCTCTCAGGATCTCCCCCCATCCCCAAGTGCTCCATCACGTTTCACGGGGGGTCTGTCCAGGAAACACACTCACAGGCACACATCCCTTTCCGTCCAGGCTCTTGGCCGAGGCGGGTTCCCAGAACCCGCTGCTCACTCCCATCCCAAAAGCCTCTTCCACACAAAATGGCCGAGTCTCGGTGCCCTCCCGAATGCTCTTTAGCTGGGATGGAGAGCAGGCGCCCTAACGCTCGGAGGCTGCACACGCACTCGCACACGCAGCAACGCCTGCACATGCCGGACACACGAACACCCATGTGCACACGACCAGGCCGCAGCCGCCC